AAAATGTTCTCCTGACTTTTGTTAAAGGAGACATAACATGCATTTAAATTATTCCTTTTTTGCAGCTAAATCATTCAGTTGGTGTCTAAAAATAGTGAAACAGCCTTTCTTTGGTCAGATTTCCTCATTAATGTTGATCTAAAGACCCCTCCTTTACCCCTATTCTGAGCACACGGTCAGCATGAGCCGTTCTAGGTACTGTCTCTTTAAATCTGGAAGAAGCACTGAAACTCCGCCCCTTCTTCTGAGCAGGAGCGGAGGGGGTGACTCCAGTCGTACATTTTAGTAGTTTTTTTTAGAGAAAACGCTATTTAGCATATCTGAACCTTTGTGACAGCATTTTTTTGACATGTCGGGAGATTTGTCTATCCAGCCGTACATGTTTGAGCCAGAGTCCGACCCTGAGCAACAAGACAATGAAGAGAATGATTCTGACCAACCACGGCTACAAATGCATGTAAACCAATGGTATATCACTAGCACTTAATTACTATTTATTCGTTTATTCATCGTCCTCCTGCGCACTGAAACCACTGTGAAGAAAATCCTCTTGGGCGCTTTCTGTAGCACTTCTCTAACCATTCCTTCATTAGACTTTTATTTAATGTGGTTTTAGGTGTACATGTGGGAACTGCTCTACAATGCCCACTGAGATAGAAAATCTATGCTGTAAAGAAATTCCTAAGGTCAGTGTGTTTTACAATAAAACCTAAATCTATTTTACTTTCATTCTAAATAAAATATAACTTATTAGGTTAAAGCCAGAATGGATGAAGTATCAAGCACAATGACATGCATGGTGGATCATCCAGGGTTAGAGCCTGTCTGCCTCAATGTGTATTCACTGCAGAATGCAATAAATGTTTACAAGGCCCAGTTTGGACCCTTACGTCTAAGAGGAATTGTACAGTAAGAAAAAAGTTTTTATTGGTTCTTCATATACAAATATTATTTAAAAAAATCTCACAGCAAATACGTAAATCCAAAGCAAAAAAAAAAAAAAAACACTATAGTAGTGTTAATGGACATTTGTTAATGTCTTCTCTTTCTGTTACAGTCGTTACAGGTACTGTTCATACAGATGCTTTGTTTCCTGGTGCTGGGGATATCTGGGCCGCAATGTTCGTGTCGTCCTGCCGTCTTGTGTTGTGCTCAGGATACGGCAGGAGTTTCCAGATGATGAGGGGCGTTATGTTGGCTTCAAACCGGTGCTGGGTTGAAGCGGGAAACATAGGCCGAGACAACTGTTGTCTTCTCTGGTCTGGTGTACTCAGATGAGAGGGTTGGTGGGATGTTAATCTTTGCTACCTCATCGACAAATGGAGTTGGGTCAGGGAAAACTTGTTCAAAGACCAGCTGCATGATGTCATCCACGTATTCTGCAATGACACAAACAGTATTGACATTTGTTTTTACATGCAAGTTATTGAATGTAGTATGTAGTAGTATGTTCTTTTGCACTGCTGTTTATAATGGTGTTTTTGGTTGTGTTTTTAGTCATTATTTATTTTATTTATAATTTCATTTTGCTGCTGGTTTTTCAGATTTTTGTAAAATTTTCAATAAAAAACGGAAAATAAAATGAATCAATTTATTGTTTTCCAGTTATCATATTAGAGAGCAACGCAGTTGAACTTACTAAATGTTGGAGCTGTTTTGATTGGCCTTGCTGTTGCTTCTCCCTTCTTGAACTTTGGAAAACACAGCCTGAACATATGCTGGCCAGACGAGGTAGTAGCAGTCAGACGCTGGCCATTTTCGTTGAAGTGCAGCGCTGCCAGAAAAAGCCTGAAAGACAAAATGGATATTCTCTAATTTATTAAGACATTTTTCTTTTTATACAGCATTCTGAATAAAAAGAAAATTAATTAATTAACTTGTCATGCTGCCATCTAGTGATGTGAGTGGGGATGTGTTTTAGATTTGAAATGATAATGACACTCTCTTTCCTGGTAGTGTTTTGTCTTTGTACAGCATTTTATCATACTTTTGATTACCTGCACAGCATTCCCAGGAAAGGGTAGTGTGAGTGTTTTGGTGCAAACTGCAAAATCACACTGTGGAAGGCTTCTATGGCTGATGTCTGCAAGTGAGGGCTTAGCTTTTCTACATCCTTCAGAATCCTCTTTGTGGTCCACAGGTTCTCCAGTCTGCAGAATGCTGGTGTTGCTATAAAAGAAAAGTAATAATAAACTGACAGCCTAATTAGATTAATTATTCATAATACAATCCCCACCTGGTTTTAACCATTTGCTTTTATCTCTCGACGTGCGTTGTGGATGTAAACACCGAGGGAAAACTGGATCATCATGCGAGTGAATGTTCTGCACATGGTTTAAGATGGAGGTCCACTTAGCCACTCTTTCCTGTGGAGTTGAAGATGAAGCAGCAGTCCAGTAAATGTGATTCTTCAGGCTGCGAAGCCACCTGCTCAGTTCAGCGCAGTCTTTGTTTTGTGCAATCTTTGTCATCTTTTTGGATAACCCTTATCAAAAAGAAAGTAGTAAAGAACACAAGACACCAAATAATTTCATTATTATAAATCCAGGGTCATTAAAAAGTCCTTATATAACCAAGTCAACCTAAATACAGTCAAAAATACCTTTTTGGATATGCCACACATCGTAGTAGTGGGTGATCTTGGCCACTTGTCTCAGGTACTTCTGGACTTGAGGATGGCGGTCAGTAACAACACAGTCCAAAGATATATTGTGTTCATTTAAGACACCTAGACTGCGTTTCAGACCCTCAAGCTCCATGTAGTAACTTCCACCAACTTCATTGCTCTGCTTGAGCAAAATAAACATTATTAATTAATTGCAATATGAATTAAAAATTATTTTGTGGATCTCTAGCAGATAATAACTTCTTGAAACATTTCTCATCACTGCACAAACCTGAACGAGTTGCAAATCCACTATCCTCTGGCTCCTCAGATCCATCATGGTATAACTGCCATACTTCGCAGAGTGACCTTTTAGAAGCACAATGTGAATTTAACTAATTAGATAAAATTTATAGTTACAGCAAAATCAAATAAAGGACAATTATTTACCTGGAGAGTCAGCCCTCATGTCACCACCAAGTATGGCAGGTTGTTGATTTAGCTCCTCCATCATGCCATCCTGTGCTGACTTCCACGCATGTACAATAGCTGGCTCAATATACAGTCTTGCATGCCGTCGGAATGTGAAGTGGTGGAACATTTGAAGTTTCATTGCCTGGAAAATCTAAGGAAACACAAAACATTATGTCTAAATATATACCATATTTTGGAAGTTTATATTGTGATGGAAGTTAGTTATTCATTACTTTTTCCAATTTGAAGAATGATCCACCGTTTGAATAAACAGCAACAGAAAGTTGAAGATTCCCCACTGGAGTACCTCCATGTAATGGCTGACTATTCCATTTTCTAAGATAATCACAGTGGAGACATCGCTGCTCGACAGTCAGAAAAGTGCCAATTCTTCTGGTCTGCACCCTTGTTGCTCGTTGACACACAGGGCATTTCTCAAACAGTTCCAAAAGGCATTTCTCATATACTATATAGGTATTCATACTGTATGCTGGAACTGATGTGTCCTTTCTAGAGTGGATATAAAACAAATAATTAATGAATAATTTGTGAATGTATCTGAAAGAATATAAATAAATGCTGGTGCTGTATAGCTTACGTGTGTTCAGTGATGTCCGTCAAAGCACTTATTGATGCCAGAGGGTCATATGTTTTATCTTGTGGGCTTGGGATGTTCATTGAACTACTGCCTTCTAAAGTGTCGTCAGCGTCTGTGGTCTCATCCAAACAAGGTCTCTTTATAGGTGTGATATGTTCTTCTGGTATAGCAGACAAATGTTGGCGCTTCACTGGTGTGGAGGTCACAAAATGTGTGGTGTGAAGAGAGCCTGTTGTTGAAGTACCAGCTACAACTTCAGAGAAATCCATGCTTGTCTGTGTGCCTTACAGTGAAAAATAAATTAACAATACTGCCAACTTTGTTTGCTTAACTACATTTCTTACAGAAATTTGCTAGCATGGCAGTGTAAACATTTAACTTACCTATACTAATGAAATGTGGCCCTAGAGTTTTCAGTGAGAGTTGGGTTCCAACTGCACGCATCTGTGGTTTCGTCTGACAGCCTGAACTGGTAAAAGATGGCTTCTGTGTCCTTGGTGTTGGGAGCTGGAAATGAAATAGTGCATTTTAAATTGCATTGTAACATGTGCAATAACAGTACAGTACAGATGATTGTTTAATAACACAATCAATTTTTATAAATTATAATAATTTGGTATTTCTGCTATGCATCTTACATCAAATGAAGTCACTTGTACACTGCCACTTTTTCCACTCATAACATTCAGCTACATCTGAAACTGTTTGACTTCATTGCAGAGCAAAGCTCACCTGTGATGTCTTCTCATTAAATGACCTAGTTCTCGGATTTGACATTACTGATCACACAACGTGATGTAGATACACGTAGGACACGAAAAATAAGCTTAAAGTAGCATCTTTGACACAACTTGTCAGACATTTTTGTCCAAAAACACAGAATAGAGGAGGTTTAGTGTTTTTACATAGGCCCTACAGTGTGCATTTCAGAAGGAATATGAAAAAATGGTTTAAACTTCGTTTTAGGATCGGTTTGATTGTAAATACACACGGAAAATACGCTTTCTTGACAATCCTTGTCATTGTTTTGGGATGAAAACGTGAATATAAAAATAATACACGCGCATTTACACCAAAATACCGGTGAATCCGGGTCAACGCATGCGTTCCGTTAGTGGTTCTGGAGCTTTTGGGTCGCAGCCTGATAGCAGCGCTGCTAAACAATGCGATAATCTCACGGTGGGCAAGCAAAATATAAAACGTGTTTAGCTGTCCATGAGATGTAAATGGCAGTCCCTTACCCCTGTTTAATACAGGATGCACAATGCAAAACTTTGATCGACTTCTAATTTACAGTACATAATATTGGTGCACAAGAGAAACATCAGATCTAAATGCTAAATTAGCATTTAGCTAGCTTAACGACCACATGGTGCTAACAAAAGCAATCGGCATGCCCTAAGGCTATTAAAATGGTTGGAGTTCACAAAAGGAAAGTAGTAAATTAACTTTGCAGTCAGTTATTAATTATATCAAGCTTACCTCTTTGCTGGTGTGTCCATCATCCCCATACTCAGTGGGAACTGAGCCCTCAATGAGTCGAAGCCTTTGGGCTAGTCCTTCTCTGTACTGCAGTAGGTTGGTGAAGCACTCGTATTTAAAGTGCTTTGAGCAAACAAAAAGTACTTTACGCACAGAAGATGGGACATTACCATGAAAAATAAAATTCAACCAGGCTATTCTAACTTCTTCTGATGCAGGAGGACGGTGTAAACACTCGTGTGGATGAGTACATCCATAGACAGAGCATTTCAAGTTATCTAACCGTGGTTTTGGCATTATTCACTCTGGACTACAACTGTCCTAGCGAGGGAAAAAAAATGGCGGCTTTACTTTCTGTGTAGCCAGAGAGCCATGACCATATTTGGTAGTTATCCGGACTAAATTAATTACTGATGTCATTGATAATGTAAAAACTGAACGGGTGGACAAATATGCCCAAAACTTAATTATTAAATATCTAAATAGCAACTCCAGTGAATAATATAAGCCTTTTTGCTCACTTAGACACTTAAAATGTGAAACACACTGTGTTAATGGATAAAAAAGTGGGTTTTTCATGTTATGTCTCCTTTAATGTGCATTCATTTCAGTCATAGCTGTACCATTTCAGTTGTATCTTAGACATTTGTAATGTATTCTAGGAAATCGGCCCATACTCTCTTTTTAATGTCTATGAATAATGCTTCTGTACGCGTTATGTAAATTATGGGATCAGCTTTTCTTTTCCGGGATTAAAATGTGGAGAAATATGTTACAATAGAGTGCAGATGACCCAGTGCACTGACTGCAGAAGCACTTAGTATATATAAATGTGAGCATGTGTGTGTGTGTGTGTGTGTGTGTGTGTGTGTGTGTGTGTGTGTGTGTGTGTGTGTGTGTGTGTGTGTGTGTGATGATACATAGAGAATCCTCATATATGGGCTGGATTGAGGTCAGGCGATTCTGTGAGTGCGGAGCCGAGGCTGCTGCATAAACAACAACATGATTAGGAGATGTTAATAATACCCATTGCCCTAAATTATGGCTGTTAAACATCTTCTAATGAAGGACACACACACACACACACACACACACACACACACACACACACACACACACACACACACACACACACACACACACACACACAGAGACAGCTCACTCCCGTTCCCACTGATCGGCAGCTCTGAGCAGCTTACTTAACAGCATCCAGCATGAAAATGAATCACACATGTGGGACACCCCACCCGCTGATCAGAGGCGGTAGGCATAATTTCAGCCGGCTAATCAGTCCGTAGTATCACCTCGGTCCCAACCTGACCGCTGGGGAGGAGGTCTGAAAAACAAGAGTCACCTCAGATCCGAAAACGCAAATCTGACCCGTGTGTGAAACCAAATTCCGGTCCCGTAAGGCAGTGGTTCCAAATCTTTTTTGACTTGTGGACCCTCTGAGCCGTTTTCTCCTACCACAAGTACCCCCTTGTTCAAACGTGTTGACAATTCCCCAAAAGTAGAACATACAACTGATTATTAAATGAAAATAATGTCATTAAATATCCTTAACACTAAACAACCTCTAATTTCTAAGGTGAATTCTTTAAATTTAACAATCCTCACGCACATCCAGAAAATATAAACTCCACATGGAAACTTTCTGGAGCTTGGTATTCTGATCCACACCAAAGCTGGTGTAAATGTTCTGATTGGACTTGTTGGTCTTTATTTTCTAGACCATACAGGTTCGGAGCAGATGGAGAGAGAAACACCTTTCGTTGGTAGAATGTGGAGTCAAAATGATCAGAAGACCAGTCTCTTCTTCACCGCTGCAGAGGGAGAACACTGCAGCTCCAGCTAAACCCCGCGGTTAGCTCATATCTGCTGCACCCAAGTGTTCTGAGCTCTCTCTGCTCAGCAGCTATTTTTATTGACCAATTATGGAATGCACACACACGTAATTCTGCCATCTGCACATGCAGACGCACGTCAGCTAGTAGCCTTGTTAATGAAAGACCAATTCATCCCAAGAACATGCAACCTTGAGATGACCAGGACACATCCTGCAACATCCTTTGCTAACAAAGACAGTTGTTCTTGTATTGAGGAACTGAAGGAAGGAGCACTTTCACTCCCTTTTCTGTGCAGGGGAAAACATGCAGCTGTTCACCTTGAGCAGAAAAGGCACAGAGAGGTTTTCGATATTATAACAAGATTCCATGAAAAGGCATATAATAATGTATTTATGATAATATATAAGGAGCATAAGTGAGAGATACATATTTGTTCATATAAAAGAGCTTATAATAATATATGAAAGAGCTTGTATGAGAGATATATATATATATTTTCAATCCCCCTTTTGAACTCTTTTAAGAGTTCAACAAAGATTAGATCAATAAATGGTAAAAAGAAATTAAAAAACACCAAATACCACTACTAAGAACCCATCTCAAAACACAGGATAAAGTTCCAGAATGATACATTAGCTCTAACATGTAATGATCTAGAAATTAAAAAAAAAGAAAAAAAAAACAGATGAATGCACAGCTGTGACTATGAGAAACTGTGAAACAATACATGAAACATGACTTTAGCATTAACTGAACATATCACGTCATGAACATATCGCATGCACACCCGTATGAGGGCGAAAAACCCTGTCCATTGTACTTTAACAGGGAAAATTCCCCCATGTCCTCCCGATCTCGGGACGAACGCCTTTTAGCACGGAGCGGGCATGCCTAGCTCATCAATGGTCAAAAAATAAAAACAACACAATCAAAAACTCATGGAAATAAACAGGTGAAGGGATTGTTACATAAATCACTGAACATTCTCACACTCTAACATCATCTTCTTCATCATGAGAGTCATCACTACCACTAGAGGGTTCCCCTCCCAAATAGATGTTAGGATTGGCTAGTAACAAGGGCATCTGGAGAATTGGGTCAGCAGGTGGAGGAGAGATGGCAGTGGTGATCAATATGTGCATTCAGAATTGAGTGTGAAAATGCAATGAGTGTAAAACTATTTCTAATACTAAAAAGGCAAATGAATAATAGTATAAAATGAGTAGAGGGTGTAAAATATAACCCTTGTAAAATAAATGAGGGTGTTAAATAGAACCCTAGTAAAATGTTCGAAGGGTGGTTACTTCTTCCCCCTGTTGAGGTCCTTTCACTGGCTCCAGGCAGCTGCAGGGGGTGATGACGTCACGATTCTCGTCCCGCTGGATGTGGTGGTAGCTTGGCATGCTACCTCGTCCTGCAGAATTGGTAGCTTGGCACACTACTGCAGTCAGCTACTTCTCTTCCTGGTTTTTGGATCCTTTTTTCTGGTCAGGCAGATGTCAGCTGCTTCTCGTCCTGGTCAGGATCCTCCCTCTGTGACAGGTTCTCATGGACCTCGGTCAGGGTGCGGTGGGGCTCTTCCGCTGCAGCACACTGGGTCCAATGGTACCAGGAGTCTCCTTTACCGTCCAGCCGGACAGCGTGTGACGTCCTCTCCGTGACCCTGTATGGCCCGGTCCACCTTGGTTCCGTCCACTTTCTTTTGGTGACCTTCAGCAGGACCCAGTCGACGCCTGGCACCGAAGGCGAAGTATCTTCGTGTGTGTAGTTTTGGTCCAATGAAGGCTTTCTCGGCTTGTGCAGTCCAATTGATCTTGGCAGATAGTTGGTAGGAAGATTCACACTCCGGCCGGACCAGAAGTTCCCCGAACCGATCGCCTAGGGATTAATGGTTATGCATAAAAATGTCCTAACTCTTACTGACCCTAGCCTCTGATACCTTCAACATCAGACACATACAGTTACAAACAGCAAGCGCAATTAAAGGTACAGTGACATCACGACATGGACACACACGGACACACAAACACATACACATGC